CCCCAAAACCCCAAAACCCCAAAACCCCAAAACCCCATGTTTCATAAATTGAAGATTTCGGATGTGCAAAGTATTCGTTTAATATGAATTCCCAATATAGCAATCATAATTCATGAAATTTAAAAATACCAGCATTATAAAAGGTGTTTTAATTCTTACACTTTCGAAATTTATCAATTTTGAAATACCAAAACCATCATAATTTTTCTGTTCGCATCATGTTCAACCAATATCGCCACAGAGACGTCCCAGTCTACACCGAAGAATGTGCCTTCCACTTTGACTTGGCACAAGTATCTGAGAAATAGAGTGCTGTTTTTGAGAAATCAACCCACTCCACAGAAAAAAAATTTTAAGGAAGATCTTCATCGTCAGAAAGCACTAAAACTCACACCTTTAATTTATTGCTAAAGAAATCTTCAAGAAATAACGAGAAGACAATGAACGGAACAGGATTTATACCTGATCTGAAAGCGTTAAATATCGGCTCAGGCATGTAATCTCGTAAAGCAGCCTAAAATGGTTTAGGAATATTAGACATTGAATGTTCAATCAGCTCATCATCTCATAACACAAATAATGATACCTCACAAGTTAGACCAGTACATTTTAGCTAGAAGGACAGTTTACAACTTAATCAATCTTAAAACTTCATTCACGCTGATTAGCAGTTACACTTTCATCACAGCAAAGTCGTGAGAGATGTATCAAACCCAAGAAGAAATGACAAACTTGCCTAAAATATGAGGCTAAAAAATAAGACCATATTGAAATCAAATGTTCTTGAGTAGAACAATAATAGCAACAATTTTGGAAATAATAACAACAATGTTAAAAACATCAGAAATCAAAAGCTACCTCTAAAGGATATCACTCATATGATCCTAAATAACATCAAGCAAAGCAAGAGCAAAGCTACTTCTCAGACTAAGACCTACGATTGCTCAATAAATTATCAGCAAAAAAAGAAATAATAAGCCTAAAATTACTTTTAAAGTGAGAATGAGCCATAAGTTTAACCTTATGGAAACCCTTCAGTCCCTTAAGTTAAGGTATAGCCAAAGCAATTGAGTGAAAGTCATAATAATTCTCCTAGAATCACCTCCGCTATAGGAAGTGGTAGATTCAAGAGATAATTTAACAAAATTGACAGAGAGACTGATATAAACTTCTATCAAGACATTCTTACCTAAAGCTCAGCAGTAGAAGAATAGCAATAACCATTGTTCACTCATAATTCAAATCAAAATAATAGCAACAATAAGAATAAGAATTTCTAGTCATCATTTTTCCTCCAGCCTAAGGTTCAAAGAAATGCAGTCTAGAGATAGATGATTATTGATTAAAATTGCAACAATGTGAATATGAGCACCATTTCTCAAGGTGAAAATGTAAAATCAATTGAATGCCCAGAAGCACATGCTCTTCAAATTAATCAAGGCAATCTTAGACAAGCTCAAAGATAAAACTAATTCAAAGACAGAGTGCTTTGCAAAGACAAAGCAAGAGGCAAATCACATAATAGCCCAAAGAATGGAACTTCTCTTGATAGAATGCTTCTTTCAATAAAAACCTAATAAAAACTGAAAAAGTTCAAATTTGACAGAACCAAAAATGAAGCCAAACTGTCCCTTTAAAACAATCAACAGATAGTAGACTCCTTCTTTGAAAAAGAACGCCTACAATTCAGATCAAACTGTCCACTTGAAGGACATCAAATCACCATGAACTATCGAACTAAAATGGTTGATTGGATGATTGAAGTGTGTGTTTCATTTAAGCTAGAGGAAAGAACCTGGTTCCTTGCTGTATCAATTTTTGATAAGTATTTAAGTTTAAACAAAGGCATTAAAGTGTTACATAACTCAGATGTTCACTCTATTGGTATTACTTCACTCTATCTTGCCTCTAAATACCAAGATATATAACCAATTAATTCCTTTATTGCATATGAGAAGATCGGACATTGTGCAGTTCCTTAAGCTGATATCCTTAGAAACGAGTCCGAATTCTTAAGAGTATTTGACTTCCAGCTAGATTTAATTACTCCCTTTGATTTTCATCAATACTTTATGGGAGGCATCTCACAAAACATGAGTGATATGCATTAAGACTTATATCTTAAATTGAATGAGTTAAGTCTCTACATGCTGAGGATGAGTCTTGAGAATATCGAATTCTTGAGATATGAACCATCAATGCTAGCTGCTGCAAGTATATATAGCGCAATTAGCTTGCTAAAAAGAAGCAATAAGTTCGGAAAGTGTATGACACATGAATAGTATAAAGAACTTGCAAAAGATTGTTTAATAATAACTAGAATGCAGTATAGAATTGAACAACTTGACATTGCTGGAAAGTAAATGATACAGTTTTTATCACTATTTGACAACTGGCATTGTGGATTAAATCAACTAAAAAAGTTCAAGCCATTATCTTTTACTCTTAAGTGAGTTTTTATTGGCAAACCCCATTGAATCATTATTTTATCATAGATTGTATTTTACTGTAAATATTTTCCTCTCTCTTAATACTCTTTTAAATCTGGGCAAGGGGTTTTGGGGTTTTGGGGTTTTGGGGTTTTGGGG